AATAGCTAACAGGTTTCGTGCCTGATCTTTTCTAAGCAGCTGATTTCATTTGGGAGTTCCTGTTCCTTTTATATTTGACTGTCTTCTTTTTAGCTTGGTGCTCTGACCCGGTTTTCAACACTTATTGAAAGAGGATGCAGATGGAATAGGGGAGGAATTATTGCATTTGGCCTTAGGTGGCCTGACAAATGGCAAGGTTATAGTCGTGAGCCATAGGTCGCAAGTCTTCCACTCAATAAAGGGGATTAACCCCCCTGTAGCATTCCCCAGCTGGAAAAGTTCAACTTAAATGGTTGCAACCTTACTAGTGTACTAAAATAATTATTACTGGGCAGTTTCTATTTTCTTACACTAATGCACTACAAACAAGCATCTCTTTTCTTTCCATGAAGACATGCTCTGATGGAGTCTGCATGGAGCTGAAGGAGCTTGCTAGCTAAAGTTGGTCCCCTGCACCAGGCAGTACAAGCACAGTTCTTTGGTTTCAAAGTAAGATTCTGTTGAATGTTTCTCACTCCCCTGATATTCCTGCCTTTGTCATCTGTTTGCTCCATCACTCAGTAGTGGTATGGTGTAAATCATGTGTCCTCCTCATAGCCAGCACATCTGATGAAATCCTGTAAAGTTTTCCATAATTTGCTTTTCTAGTGGGAATTTTAATCAACCATTTGGCATTTAGCTCAGCAGGGTATATGAATGGACCATTTCTATAAGTAGTACAGTGGACCATAGTATGTCTGGGCAGAGTCAATCACAACTTCTTTTTCTCTGGTCAATAGATTGGTAGGTAATAGCTTCATTTTGCAGGTAACTTTAAAATTTAAGGACAAAATAAGTAAAGGTCTAAAATCAGACTCCTGCATCTAATATTTAGGCTAAGCGATTTGTAAAGGTATAAACCAGGAAATAATTCCTAAAAAAGGCAGTGAGATTTGCTTACAGCTCAGCACTTTTAAAAATGGGATCACATATCTTGGTACCTAAGTAAGGACCCAGGAACCCAACTTCACCAGGTAAACATGGTAATAGCCATTTAGCATCAAGTTCTAAAAAATAAAGAATTATTAGGCTAACAAGTCCCCTTATCCTGTATTCTTTAACTAGAATAGCTTCTGCGCTACTAGCACGATCTAATTATCAAGTCATCCCTGTACATACCATAGGGTATGGTGACGATTTACAGGAAGTCAGTGTAGAGATTGGAATCTTATATTCCTAACCCAGATTATTTTGCATAACCTGAGTTATACTTGTTGAAGTACATGACACAGTTTATGAAGTTAGAGGAACTTTTATAGACTGGTGTGTGAGGAAGTAGTTAAAGGCTTGATGCAGAGTGAATTGCAGAATGGTTGAGCTGGGAAGGGACTTTTGTTTTTTCTTTGTTGGATGATTTCCACTATTTTCTGTGTTTTCTATCTTTCCTGTTCTCTTTCCTACTCCCAGAAACATAGATGTGTTCAATTGTATATAGCCATTGAAAGAAAGTGAAGTAATTTAGCAAGCTAGGTTTGAGATCCCAGATTACCTTCCTCTGAGCAGAGAGCTCTGACCATTAGGTAGAAGCCAGGCTCCTTATTGCTTGTTTTACCTCCTAGCAGCATTCCTTAGCAGTCCTCCATGAGCAAGAAGGAAAAGGAGAATGTCTTCACGCCCAGTACTCAGCAGCTTTGTGCTTAGAATGCTTTAGGATACAGGAACTAAGCATTCCTCCTATTACTACTTTCTGAGGCAGGGGACTCTACATTTCCCCCTGGCCTTTATCACAGAACGTGGAATTTAATCCACTACCTCTCTTCAAGAGGCAGGGTGGACACAAAGGTACCTGCTTCGAGGCCCAGATGTAGACATATCCCCTTCCTTATCAGGGGCTCTACATCTGTCCTTACTATATATTCACTCATTATAGTGGGTATATCTTAATGTAGGCTTTTTGACTTGATACTTTTCCAAAGTGCAATGAATTTATTTTGCCGTACTTCCCTTTTACCAGTTCTGGATAATACATATAGCCCATTGATTACCTCATTCAACACTTTTAATATGTAAAGACTCTCTAAATCCCTAAAACTGGTATTGTAAAACTGAAACCACTTTAAAACTGCTTAGACTTAAAATTAGTGATTTAGACTTAAAATTAGTGATTGTACTGCAGCCTGTGCCTGTGGACCTGTGCATATCCCAGGAATGGACTCCTGCATTAACGACATGCAGTGCTGGGTTAGGTAGAGTTTCTGGCCAAAGTAATCACAGCCCCCAAGCAGACCAAGTAAGGGCACAGTAACAGAATATATAAGCAGAGTTAGGAAATGTTATGATGATTTCAAGTCTGTTTACTCCTTAATTCATTAGGAGGGATTTGAACAGGCAAGAATTATTCAACTAGAAAGGCAGAAGAAACAACAGGCTGGGGAAGGGGAGGCGTGAGAAAGCAGAGAATAAATTGGAGGGACACTGACTGTGAGAAGCTACAAGGTTGAGGCTGTGGCAGGCAAAGGAAGGTGGAGTAGAGTCAGGACATCTATATCTGGACCATAGAAACGGTGGAAAATAGCAAAATCGTGCATAGATATCATTAGTCTATGATTGAAGTGGGCTGCTGAGCCAACTGTGGCTGCATTGGTGGCTCCTCCAGTGGGCTGGGCTGGGAATCCTTTTTTCCTTCCAGACATGAATGGTTTCAGGTTCAGAATTCTCCACAAAATCAAAGGGTTCTTTCCTACACAGTTATGGATCTGGGGGACTCCTAATCCTTATTTCTTTCTCCCATCCCAGTGCTGTGTAGAAACTTGGGTTTCTATGACATAATGAAATACCTCCAAAGTATTTCAGAGTTGCTTCTGCCTAGTGCATGATGTGTTGGAAGTGATACATCCTCAGTAGTTTTAGAAAATGAGATATTTATTAATTCTTTCTAAAGAACTGCAACTGTAGATTTAGTAACAAAATTCCAGCATTATTAGGTAGTTACTTAAACGTACTTACAGTACTTTGTTCTTTGAAACGTGCAGGTCATCTCTTTGATCTTTCTGTTCGCTTTGCCAAGATTTCGGCAATGCAAATAGGGAAACTGGCAGGCAAGAATATTTTTGCAGTTTATTTTTCTTTCTCTTCTGAAGGTCAAACAGTACTTCCTATATATAGCTACTATGGTGGTTGAGAATTAATCCTGAGGACTTTCGATACTAATACATCTGAAACATGCCATGTTTTGAGAGGAATATCTCATGCTGGTTCCTGTGTCAAGGCTATTCTTGTCCTTTGGTATGGTATCCTTTATTAGGGAGGAAGGGTAAGTTCAGTCCTTGTGTTTAAATCCTCAACAATTTCCACTAAATGATGAGACAGCAAAAGGTGGGAACATGAAAGGGCAAAGTAAATTAGCCCCAAAGACCAACCTCCCATCTTTCTTGTGGCAAGTCAGTACAACCTACAGCATAGTACATACCTGCTAGGCAAGCACCAATTAACTCCATAAGGGTCTGCTCCTTTTTGGAGAGCTCTGACGATATATAAAAAGGTGAGTAATCTGCCTCCTTAGCTCAGAATCTTTCTGAAGAGGCAAGAACTAGGAATCTCTATGCCTGGGCTTAAGATTCAAAGTCTTTCTCTGGTTCTGATATGGCTGGACAGGGCTCTTAACAAATGTATTAACTCTGTATCTTTTTTTCTTCTTTTTTTTCTCCCCTGGGTCTCTCCAACCCTACTGACCACTACGTGTGTCCTGCACAGATTTGCTCTGTATTTGCATTTATGTTAGAAATGTATTTACTTTGGTAATAAGAGTAATGAAACCGAGCCCAAAGAAAGGAATTTTCACAGTAAAGGAAGAGATCAGTGTATTGCCAAGTTGCCTAGCTGAACAGTGTTGGCAACCCTCGTTTTGAGTATTTGTTCTTCGAATGTCTGGTAAGCTGGAGAGTATTACAACTCAGAATGAGTCTGAAAATTCTAGTCATATGTTCAGAGGGTATTGACCTTTGTTCTCATGAGCAGGAGAAAGAAACCATGATCTTGACAGCATCTGGGTTTCTTGGATTTCAGGAACATGTTCCTGTCCTCTTCCTTCACTCGCTGGTGGCTCCCTCTTTCAGCTATGACAAACTAGGATGATAATCTTCTCACGTATTCCTTCTTCTTGCTGTTTAAATAGCATGCCCATGTCCAGGGGTCATGTCATCCTTTTACAGTTCCCAGCTTTATCAATCTGTTAAACTCCCTCAATGATAGTCTTTACCAGAGTTCACAAGATTGACAGTGATTCTATTGTTTGATGGTTTCACTGGTACATATCTTTGCAATTTTCTGTTGCTTACAAAATGGCAAAAATGTTTCCTACCACACAGAAATCTTCCCTGTGAGGGTGCTGAGGCACTGGCACAGGGTGCCCAGAGAAGCTGTGGCTGCCCCATCCCTGGCAGTGTTCAAGGCCAGGTTGGATGGGGCTTGGAGCAACCTGCTCTAGTGGAAGGTGTCCCTGCCTGTGGCAGTGGGTCAGAACTGGGTGAGCTTTAAAGCCCCTTCCAACTCAAACCAGTCTGGGATTTTATATAAAAAGAAACAAAGTTTAATTCTCTATCTTTAATACAGGCTAGTGAATAAGTTTGGTGGGTGATTTCCTCACTTGCAATTCTTAGAACTAAAAATAGTTTCATAAATATCTTACTTGCTGTTTCATTTTCATACACATGCGTTGAGAAGAGAAATGAGAGTGCCAGAAATACTGTGTAAGCAGTAATTCTTGTCAGATGAGAAGTGGGAATGGATTGAGGAAAACCTCTGGGAAAGTCTGGTTCTGGTGAGGCTTCTTGTTCAGTTAAAAGAGAATAGAGCCACTTCTGATAAAGTTGAGATTTGTCTGCCCTTGAATTTCCTGAACACTCACATCATATATTCCTGTATCACAGGTTTTGGTGTGTTTATTTCATCCAGACATGTCCGTTCTATGAATTCTGATCATACTCTTTTCATACTACAATAGTTCTTTTCTCTTTTTACAGACTGTTTTCGAGAGGAATTGTCAGTCTGATGACTGTGCTGCTGATTTGAAACTTCAGGGTAAATTATTGCTCTCTAGGTGAGTAGGTGAACTTTTTTTTTCTTTTCCTTTATTGTGGTAGTATGCCATTTATTTTATGTAAGATGGCAGTGAAAAATCAAAATACAAACTTTTTGTATGTAGACTAGAAGAATGATAACAGTGATACCACCTTTAGTGCAGAAAGGTCTTGGGAAGGGACTTTATCACTCTCTACAAGTACCTGAAAGGAGGATGGAGCCAGGAAGGTGCTGGTCTCTGCTCTCAAGTAAGAAATGACAGACCAAGAGGAAACGGTATCAAGCTGCACCAGGAGAGGTTTAGACTGGAGATTATGAACAGTGTCTTCTCTGAAAGGGTGGTGAGGCATTGGAACAGGCTGCCCAGGGCAGTGGTGGAGTCACTGTGCCTGGAAGTATTCACACACCATGTGATGCATGCTCAGATTGAGTACCGACATGGGCCATGTAATTTTTCAGATGATAAAATACTAGTTTATGACATGATAGGAGTAAAACTGCCTGCAAAATTATCACATGGAAGATTAAAAGCAGCCAATCCTCAGAACATAGCAAACTATCTTTTTCTGTTTCTCAACCTGTAGTTTTGCTGACTGCCTTGAAATACTGCTCTCCTTTGTCAGACACTTCTTGTTAGCAACTTGTGTACGTGTGTCTCATTTCACTTTCTTCTCATCAAAACCTCATTGAATAGACCAGAGGTGAAGTTTGTGTTCTGTCCCTTGTGACTGGTGATCCTAGGAAAATGCCTATTGTTTTGCCTGGATGTAGTTATTCAGTTTCGGGATAAATGAGGCTAAAGGTGAACTTTACACATCACTTCTGTTTCCTTTTTTTCTCAGTGTTTTTAGCACAGTTTTAGAGATGGAAGTGCTGACACAAGTTGTTTAATCTTGTGCCAGAGGTTTTGCTGTTTAATGGAGATGCTTTCAGTGAAATGCTTTGCTCACAGGTCAGGAAAGAGAGGGGAAGAGACTCCCCTGCTTTAGGGGAAAAAAAAAAGATTAGAGGAAGAAGTAATACTCAGGAGAGAGACATACATTTTATATAAGCCTACAGCAATGCCGTAACCGTACTTGGAAACAAAACTGAACCAGAGTCAAGTCTGAGAAGTTATGGACTTCTCCAGACACGACTGAAGTCCACAGGAATGTTTCAGGGGATTGGCGGGGAACAGGGTTAGGTCTCAGGTTGCTGAGTCCAAGCTTTGACTGCGATTAGTCAGGATTTGTGACCTTTCACTTGATCTTTGTGGTGAGCAAAGTCTGCTGAGAGCTGGAGACCTGTCTGTGTAGAGTAGGGAAGGCAGTGAGGGATTTTGTCCTGCAGTTGAGAAATAATCAGTAACAAGCAAGGGACAAGTCCTAACAAGTTGTCAGGCAGTGTATAGTAATCATAGCACTAAGTTGTGTTCATGATTGGAGCATTAGACTGTTTATTTTTATAGCAGTTATTTATGTGATCTTGGCTATGTAAAAGCCACAACTGTCAAAGAAGCTTAGGATATTCAAATACAGTTTCTACCATTGGATAGCAAGATGTTGAAGAAGTGCTCTTAAATCTTCTTTATCCAGTGACACTCTGAAGTCCTGTTTGAAATAAACAGGATGTCGCCAAATCCATCAAGGCTGCACAGAACAGGTTCTCTTTAGCTAGAGCTGAGTAGGCTTCAGTTTTGAACCAAAGCAGAATAGGTATCCAAGGAAAATAAGTATTTTTTTGTTATTATTATAATTATTATTATTACTACAAAAGCATGCCATGGATTCTGATTCTAGAGAAGTGTCTGTCTTGAAGAATACGGTCATTTTTCCAGCCCCATGTGTTTCATGCTCCAGAATCCTGTCAGCATTTTTCCTCATTACTCCTGTTTATGCTACCTCTGTGTACAAAGCAACTTTTTTTTTTTTTTAGAAAGAGCAAAAAAGGTGACTCATTGATTACTATCTGCACTAAACAATTGACTTCATTGTTAGCAAGGTTGTGGCAATGCCTTTGTCTAAATAAATAATTACATCTGACTAAATTTGGTGGACTTACTGGAAAAAAACGCAATTAATGGCACACAGACAGATTGGATTAAAATAAACAGGATGTTTATGGGAAGGCAGCAGTAAGTGCTGTCTCAGAGCTGCTGCAACTCTTTGAAGATGTCACTGGACATGCAGATAGGATAATTCAGTTCAGATAATCTACCTGGACTTGCAACAGGCTTCTACTAAGATTTCTCACCAAAGGTTCACAAAGAAAGTAAGTTGGCCAGGTCTGAGGTGCCTGAATGGTGCCTGAGCATTACTATCCAATTAAAAGGTAGTCAACAGGGAGAAGGTGTAAATATTTATCCTCCTGGTGGAGAAAACTCCACAAGTGCTTCTGCTGGGGCCAGTGGTTTTCAACATATTCATAGTTGATCAGGGAAATAATCTGCAAGAGATTAATAGCAAGATGATAAAGTTTGCTAATCATACTAAACTATTCAGAGCAATGAAAAGAACATGGAGATATGCTTTCATTAAGTGTGTGATTAATCTGTTGATTTTACTGTTGGGAATGTTGGAAACGCTGAGAGTTAGAGAAATGGCAAATATGAATGCTGGAAGGTGCAGAAATATGTCAGCAAAATAACACTTTGTGCTTGCCTTGTTCTTCCATAGGCCTCTTGCTTTTAGGCGTAGCTGGATACAGGACTCTATGCTAGAGGGACAGACTTGGTCTGGCTGTTTTTCCACACGTCTCATAAATCTGTAGCATATTAGAGACAAAAGCTGTGCAAAGAGCTATATAATGTAAGGTATAGTTTTGTTCATCGCTATATATAATACGCTTTCAAACGTGTGCTGGTTAGGACATATATGTGTGTAGGAAGTTAGATTATATTATCATCAAGAGAATTGTGTGCTGAGGTCACTCTTACGAGCTAAAGAACTGCACAAGCTACTCTGATACAGAGTTCACCTGGAATGCATTTGAATCACTAGAATTACCCAGTTAAATGATTGCACCCAGCTTTGAGTATGCCAAACCCACATACCAAATGACTCTCAGGAAAACCAACCAGTGCTGGTAAAGCTAACCAGGTCTGCTCTGATTTTGCTTTTCTTGGGATCTCCTTCTCTTCTGAAAATTTACGCATGTGCCCTCAAATTTTGAGCCCTCAAATTCTGAGCACTGCACTTTGATAGATAACAAATAGCCTGGGATGTTAACACACGGTCTAGGTAATGACCTAACACATGGCTATTTGTCCAAAGTGCTTGAGCCATGCAAATCTGCACGTGTAAGTTAGAAACTTCACTGCTGTTCTGACCAGATATGATTTGGTTTACCTCATTATTTCCTGTTGTTGAGGTGCTGCTGCATGTGAGTTTTCCACTGCATGTGGGAAACAGTGCTGCTGGGCAAGCTGAAATCCTCCTTTGTCAAGCTGGAGAATAGGGTAGAGTAGGACTGCTTGAAAGTGGATGATGATAAAAAACCTCAAAGTTGTAGCTCTATCTGGAAGCTTTTGCAAAGGTTTGGATGGGGGGGAGGGATGGTGTATGGTGGTTATTTGAATACTTCTGTTGTGGTGAAAGGTGCCCTTAGAGACTTAACCTGAAGACCAGGGTAGCAGAATCATAAAATTGTTTGGGTTGGACTGGACCCTCAAAGGTCATCTAGTCCAAACCTCTGCTATGAGCAGGGACATCTTCAACATGCTGTACTGGAGAAATAAAAAACCCACAACACCACAAAAGTTAGAATGCATTTATCCTGTAAAGAATAAGGTTTGTTTTCAGTTAACCCTTTAAGGTTCATCCACCTTCATTAGTATCAGTTTGTGTGTAAACCCATCCTAACTTCCTGAAGGTATCGTGGGATGATGGAACCAAACTCTTCCTGCTTGGGGTAGATGACAAGAGGGGTGAGAATCATGGAGTGTGGCTTGGCAGGTTCAGACCAGAGATTTGGAAAAACCTTTTTGCACAGGCAGTTCATGCTGCCCAGGTATAAGGTGTGCCTAAATGGTGTGCTCTGCCATCCTGGGATTCAGGACTTGGCTAGGTAAGTAGAAGAGAAACTGAAGGAGCAGAAGGGAGGTGTTTCATCTTTTCAGTCATGACTGCTTTCAAATCCGTTTTTCTTAAAGAACAAACACTGGAGGTTTTGGCAGCACAGAGACTACTCATCACCTTCCCCTTTGAAGAGTCTCCAGTGATAAATCTTGCAGCTGTCACAGGAGATAGCAGAATCTGGCTCTATCTATGCAGTGATGTTGGGTGGAGAGTGGGAAGATGTCTTAAGAAAGAGAACTGAAAGTATCTTAGTGTAAAGAATGTATTTATGTATTGCATACGGGTAAGTTTAATGACACAATCTGAACCCATAAGAGAAATAGGAATAGAATATTTTGCAATAAACTTTATTTTTATGGCCATAGCTTTGGGACACCAATAGGAAACGAGTTTTCCTTTCCATCAACCCAGTCCTGAAAAGCAAAACACAATTAAAGGGTGTTCTGTTAGCTATTATTTTCACATAATGTTTGATATTAAAAATATATTTATTACGTATCATGCTTGACTTCAGTGCCTCACTCTGTTTTCTCAGCACAGCAAATGTCTTTTCCATCAGGTTTCTGTAACAAATAGTACATTTTCATTGACCCTCTCCATAGCTACTTTTTTCGAGGCTGAACTACATCTGTTTCCTCAAGATGTGCTGGGGGAAACTCTGAAGTAGGTGTTCTGTAGAAGATTATGCCTTCCTAGCCTTTAAAATCTGCTAATCCAGTCCTCTGATACTTTATGTGGGAGAAAGGGCTCTGGTCTTTTAGGAATCTGAAAGTGATGAGGGAGCAGGAGTGCTAGAAATGCACATCTTGCCTGATATACTGATGCGGTTTCAGGTCCTTAGCTGATGCCTGTCGATCTGATCAGCACTCTGCAGAGACCGTGGTAGTTATCAATCCTGTTTAGGCTGTAACAGGAACCAAATGAAAACCATGAAGAAGACGTCTGAGTAACAGTGAGGGTGTTT